CAGTGTGCTTGGCTCGTGGTCTTGCCCTTGGCTCCTTTTAGCTCAATTTGAAAGTTCAAACTCCGGTCTTGTGGAGGGAAGACTTACTTGTCATCTCTCTTCAGGAAGACACCAACATAGGGCTGTGCCAGGCGAACTTTCCTCCTCAGGAGCTCAACCAACTTCTTATTTTTAACCTGCAGGAGAATGACTGAGTGAGGCACCGAACAGGCCACAATCAGTGCCACTGACAAAAATGTTTGCTGTAAAGTCACAGCTTCATCAGTGTCGCAGACCGCAGGTGATGCTGAGGCAGGAGGCCCTCAAGTTTGAGGCAGCTTCCTTCAGCCTTGAGCACCACTTCCTAGTCATCTTGGTCAGCGGCTCAGTGATGGACTCTCCCACCGGCTCGGGAGCTATCAGGTAAAACTGAGGATGGGACAGGCAGGTAGACCTCTGTGAGACCTAGGCCAGCCTGGTCTACCCAGTGAGTTCTAGGATAGCAAGGGATACACACAGAAAGCCTGTTTCAAAACACAAGTCAAAACAAACAAAAAACCCACCAGAAACGGTTGGGCTGGAGAGTTGGATTGGCAGTTAAGAGCACTTGTTCTTGTAGAAGACTTGGGTTCAACTCTCAGAACCCACATAGTGGCTCACAATCATCCCTAACTCAAGTTCCACGGGATCCAACACTTTTGAATTCTAAGGGCACTAAGCACTCATGTGCACATACATGCAAAATACTCATACACATAAGTGTAAACACACACACACACACACACACACCTTTAAGGATGGATGTCACCTGTGCAGTTCCCCAGTTACTCTCTAGTTTAGGACGCACTACATAGTTGACACTAACTTGAAACTCAAGGTGATCCTCTTGCCTTAGCTTTCCAAGTGCAGGATTTACAGGGGCAAGTTTCTGATATAGCAAGGCTGGGGAGGGGTGGTGCCGACACCCTTCATCTGTGTTTGTCTGAGGCAGGGTCTCGTGCTGGAGTTCAAGGTGGCTTCACTATCCTACTCCATCCTCCCGTGTGCTGAGATTAGACTGCAGTCAGCACCACTCCCAGCTCAGGTGGTTCTGTTGCCGAGATGGAGCCTGTGGCGTTTGAATGGGAATGGCCTCATAGGCTCATGTATTTGAATGTTTGGTCTCGGTCATAGGAACTGTTTGGGAAGGGTTGGGAGGTGTGGCCTTGTTGGAGGGTGCCCATGCCAGGCTGTCTCTCTCAGATGCAAGCTCTCAGCTACTGTTGCAGTGTCCCACCTGCCTGCCAACACATTCCCCAACATGAGGCTCACAACTAATACACTAGACTGTGAGCAAGCCCCAATTAAATACTCTATTTTAACAGATGCCTTGGCCATGGTGTCTCCTCACAGCAACTGAACAGTAACTAAAACAGTGTCTCATGTAGCCCAAGCTGGCGTCCACCTTACCGTGCAGTCAAGGATAACCTTGAACTCCTGTCCTCCTTCCACCTGAGCACTGAGATGCCAGGTGTCTGGCACTACATCGTCTGTGTGGTGTTGGGGCCCTTATCTCATGCATGCTAAGCAAACACCGCCCCAGAGCCCCCCCGTACACTCAGCAGCCGAGAGAGCTCTAACTCTGGCAGCTATAGACATGAAAGCCCCAGGGGCCAGCTGTAGTTCTTTGCTGGAAGTTGATGGCTGGGGCAGCATCTGTGTCCCCGATTCTGGTCACTTATGAGGCGATGCCAAGCGAAAGTCGCATGGCAGTGTTTCAAAGGCCACACCATCTTCAAGGGTCAGATAGTAGAAATGTCTCTTTGCCCTGCCCCCGGAAGCCTGGAGTAAAGGGGAATCCAGAACAGGCCTCCGGAGAAGCTCTGCAGTATCAGAGCCTTCGGGGCACTGGGTCCACAAGTGTCCTGGGTATCAGGAACTCCCCCCAAGCAGCAAACAGCAGAGGCTCATTGGTCATTCAGGGCACGTGAGGGCACCTGTCACCCCAGAGGTAGGGAGGTGGAGAGGCTGGAGGAACAGGAGCTCAAGGCCAACTTCAACTTCATAGCAAGTTTGAGGCCAGCCTGGGCTACATGAGATCTTGCCTCAACCAAAACAAAAAAGCCCTTACACATAGGCCTATGTGTGACTTCCACAGCAGCTCCCTGACTCCAAGACAGGAGCTTCTATTATGTCCATTTTCCAGATGGGAAAAACAAAGGCCCTTGGGAGCAACGTGCAGACAGTGCTGTGTCACCCTAAAGGGTTGGCTAGAAGGTGTGTGTCCTTCTACCAAACAGGCAACATGAAGGGAGGGCCTTGGAAGCATGGGAGAGGAAGTAGATGGGGCGGCCTCGGACCCTCCCACATCCATGCTGCCATGCCTGCCTTCAAGACTTGGCAGAGCCAGGAGAATGGAGGGGAGGCTGTGTGGTGAACATGGCAATGACTCACTGTGTGACCTTGGTACTTGGTTAACTGATAACCACTGGCCTCCGATTTCCAAGTTTGAAAGGAGAAAAATAAAACATGAAACGTAGATGGGTAGGCGGCTGATTAGGAAATTCCCTACTTTTAAATGTCTCTGCTTTCTGGCGATTTCATCATCCTGTTCTCTTTCCCTGCCTCCTCATGGCTCATTCATCCGGAAGGATCAGATGGGACCAGCTTCCTGCACTGGAATTTTCCTCCCTTAGGTAAAAGGCTGTTCCAGCTTTCCTCTTAGGGTAGATATGAGGTAGATGTCAGGGACACTGTTGAAATCCTGTACTTTCCTCCTCTTTTGTTATGCCGCTCACACCTCAGTCATTCCGACTTTCTCCCACTCCTAGAACATCGGGCCCACTGTGCCTGATACAAAGTAATTAAGGGAGTGAAAACTTCAACAGTTGCTAGCCTGGGCTACATGAGACCCTGTCTCAAGAGATACATAAGACTCTCTCAATAAATAAACACATGATTGAACAAGGAAGGCTCAGATGGTGTTACAAACTTTCACCAAGACGGAAGGAAAATAACGGTACTCTGCTGCTACTCGTCCTGAGATTCCTATCACCAGGAGGTCCTGGGCTCACGGACTTCAAACCCGTCACGGTCACAGGCCCTGAAGGACCCGAAAAAGGGAGAATGTGTCCACACGAGCCACCAAGGACTCTGGCATCCTCCTGCCTCAGACTCCCGAGTGGTGAGATGACGGGCAGCGAGCGATTCAAAAGGTTTCTCGGACACGAGGGCGCCAGGAGACCCCTCGGTGCCTCCAGCCGAGCGGGGGGCCGTACGGCCGGGGGGGACGCCCTCGTTACCTCCACGATCTTGATAAAGCGCGGGAACACCGGGTTGCGGGTGATGGCGATGAGCGGCAAGTGCGGGAACACATCCGGGACGGTCATGGGCGCCAGGGCCGTGACGACCGGGCTGTCCCCGCCGCTCGCCGCTGCCCCGTCCTCCGCGCCGCCCTCGGGGGTCTCGTGGCCGCCGCCGCCGCCGCGGCTGCCTGAGTCCCACAGCCCCCGCCACTGCCCCACGCCCGCGGGGACGCGGCCGCCAAGCGCCCAGGGAGCCGACGGGTCGCAGGCCCGCCGGCCTCGGCGCAGCCACGGCCCGGACACGCTCGGGACGCGGCCTCCAGTGACGGCCAGCAGCGGCCGCCGCAGCGCCCAACACCGCGCAGCAGCCCACAGCCGCACGTAACCTGTGCTCGCCGCCATGGACCAGCCATACTGGCGGCGCACCGCGCTTGCGTCATCTCTGCTCGCCCGCCGGCTGCGCACGTGACGAAGGGCGCGTGCTACGGGCTCAGGGGGCGGGGCTTGGAGAAGGCGGGCGGGAGGGCGTGGCCAGAGGGGGCGTGGCGGGAGGGTGAGGGCAAGACCGGAAGGAAGTGGAGGCGGAGTCGAGGTCCACGGCGCGGGGCGCGGCTTGGAGCTGGCCGAGGTGGGGGCGTGGCCCAGGGAAGGAGGGCGGGTTTGGAGGAGGTGGGCAAACAATCGAGACGCTTGCGGAAGAATGACTTGAAGGGGCGGAAGGGGTGTGCTTTCCGGATGGGGAACGCCCCACGGGGCGGGGCCCGGAGGAACAGGAATCAGGGGCGGGATGAAGGACGACGCAAAGGGCGGGGCTTTGAAGGCGAGGGTGGGGGCGTGGTTAGGGAGGGGACCCGAGGGGCGTGGCTGGGAGGGGGTGGGATCAGGCTGGAGGTGGGATCAAGGGGGCGGGACTCGGTCAAGGGGGTGGGGCTTGCCGTGGGCGTGGCCAGAGCGCAGAGCTCCGGAGCGGGTCCTGGAGGAGGCGGGCGTTGGAACTGTGGTCCGTTTCCTATGTCGTCATCCTGGGAGACGCCCCTGTACGGAAGGCGTAAGGAGGGGGCACAGCGCACTCCTGCTCTGTAACTTTATCTTATTCCTGTACACTGGGGACACACAGCTACAGGTTCCCCATCTCCACTGCGCACTGGAGGCGGTGCCTGTGAAGGGCTTTGCCTCCCTCTCTCTTCGGCACGTAGCAGGCCTTGCGCATACGTGCGTGCTGCTGTGTGGACAGACAGATGTCCATAACGCACTCCAAGGGAGCAGCCCAAGCGACATAGTGCGCATGCTCAAGCTCTGCAAAGCAACTGGTGGATTTGTTTGTTTGTTTGTTTGTTTGTTTTTTGAGACAGGGTTTCTCTGTGTAGTTTTGTGCCTTTCCTGGAACTCACTCTGTAGACCAGGCTGGCCTCGAACTCCCGGCCACAACTAGTGGATTTTATGCATGCCCAAAGCCCTGGTTCCACACCCACCTGTCCAAATGTACATTCTATGCAGACTTCCTCCAATTCATTTGTGCATGCTCACGAATCTGACTGATGGAGCTGGGCGCTAACTTTCAGGTTCAAAGTGTGTATGCGCCGGCTCCATATTGCTCATGCCCACTCCTTCCACCTGCCTCTGAGTAGACCTATTTGGGCTTTTGGGGAGATTCTGTTGCGCAGGTCCGAAAGATCCTGAGAGTAGCCTTCTTACCAGGTGCGCATGCCCAGACTTGGGGGAGGGGAGAGGAGTGAAGCGGCCTCCCTTAGTTTCAGTGCGCATGCTCAGACTCCTCCTCAAGCTCCTTGGCAGTTGAGGAGCGGTGTTAGCTGTGGACGACCAGGCGAGATGCTGCTGTTGATGCTGGCGGCGGTGGCCACTGTGGTCAGAGCTCAGCCACTGTGCCGGTGCGACTGACTCCCTAACCGGGATGTGATGCAGCTAGGGGTGGGCCGAGGCCTTCTCTCCAGCCCCACTGAAGGAATCGAACTGGACACATCCCTTCCAAGCACATCAGTAAAACCCGGTGCTGGGGTGTGGAGCCAGGGCCTCGGGCATGTATAAAATCCAAGTTCCTGTGCGGTCTGAAACCTGTCCCACCATCTATCCCAAAGCTGCTGGTATCTGAGGCTAGTTAAATCATGCTGGGAAGGGTGGTGTACGTGGTGCCACGGTTAGCAGCATCTCTGAGCGCTACCACGCGATGGCATCTCTGTGTGTTGCTAAGTGACCCCTGAACCCTGAATCATCAGCCGAGTCCAGCAAGACACTTGGTTGCTATGAGTTACATCCAGCCTGGGCTACACAGTCAGACCTGTCTCTGAATTTAATATATATATGTATGTATGTGTATGTGTGTGTGTGTGTGTATGTGTGTGTGTGTGTGTGTGTGTATACATATATCTAGTGCCTCAGCCTCTCGAGTGCCGAGGTGGCAGGTGACAACACTACCATTCGGGCGTCCCCGTTTATATATAGATTTTAGTGACTTGCTTTCAAGGGTACCGTGCACCAAGAGCCTCGGGGACCAGAGGGGTGCCAGACAGGTGACTGGTCCCACACACAAGGAACTTGTTGGCTTCAAAACAGCAAAGCACGAAGTAGGGAAATTTAAGAATACTTGTGCAAAAGCAACTTCTGGTGAGGGGTGGGCAGGAGCTCCGTGTGCAGAGACCTGGCCCAGCCGGTGACGCCCGAGACACCTCCAGCACCACAGACACCCTGCATGGTGGCTGCCCTCACAACCGTGAGGAAGAAGAGGTGGGAGGCTCAGGAGATCCAGGCCAGCCTGGGCTACTTATTCAGCCTGTCTCTGAATCAAGAGTGAAAGGAAACTGGAGGGACCCCTCAAGGAAGAGAGGCCCCAGAGCACCAGGCCCTGGGGTCCATCCCCAGCACTGTGCATGGGATGCGATGGGGATGGGTAAAATTCAGAGTGCCCAGACAGCATCAGGTCCCCTGGGACTGGAGTTACAGACAGTTGTGAGCTGCCATGTAGGTTCTGCGAATCTAACCTGGGTCCTCTGGAAGAGCAGCCAGTGCTCTTAACCGCTGAGCCATCTCTCCAGCTCCTGAATTTTTTGTTGTTACTTATTGATTTTTGAGACATGGTTTCTCTGTGTAGCCCTGGCTATCCTGAAACTCACTCTGTAGATGAGGCTGGCCTAAAACTCACAAAGATCTACCTGCCTCTGTCTCCTGAGTGCTGGGATTAAAGGTGTGTGCCACACCTAGCTAATTATTTAATTTATTTGGGGTGTGGGTGTGTGCGCACGCGCGACTGTCTGTCTGTGTCTGTGTATGTCTCTGCATCTCTGTGTATATGTATGTGTGTTTGTGTGTGTCTGTGTATCTCTGTGTATGTGTGTGTGTCTCTGTGTGTGTATGTGTGTATGTATGTGTGTCTGTGTATCTTTGTGTATGTCTGTGTATATTTGTGTGAATGTGTGTGTGTATGTCTGTGTGTCTGTGAATGTGTGTGTGTATGTATGTGTGTGTTAATGTGTGTGTGTGAATGTGTATGTATGTGTGTGTGAATGTGTGTGTATGTGTATGTATGTGTGTCTGTATCTCTGTGTGTCTGTGAATGTGTGTGTATGTGTGTCTATCTCTGTGTATGTCTGTGTGTATGTGTGTGTTTATGTGTGTCTGTGTATGTCTGTGATGTGTGTCTGTGTATGTCTGTGTGTCTCTGTGTATGTATGTGTGTGTGTATGTCTGTGTGTCTCTGTGTATGTATGTGTGTGTATGTATGTGTGTCTGTGTATCTCTGTGTATGTGTGTCTGTGAATGTGTGTGTATCTCTGTGTATGTGTGTCTGTATGTGTGTGTTTATGTGTGTCTCTGTGTATGTGTGTATGTGTGTGTATCTCTGTGTATGTGTGTGTGAATGTGTGTTTATGTGTGTGTCTGTATGTGTCTGTGTATCTCTGTGTATGTCTCTGTGTGTGTGTTTATGTGTACCTCTGTGTATGTCTGTGTGTGTGTGTGTATGTTTGTCTATGTATCTGTGTGTGTGTGTTTATGTGTGTCTGTGTGTGTGTATGTCTGTGTGTGTCTGTGTATTTCTGTGTATGTGTATCTCTGTGTATGTCTGTGTGTGTGTATGTCTGTGTGTGTGTGTTTATGTGTGTCTCTGTGTGTATCTGTGTTTGTGTGTGTGTGTGTGTGTGTGTGTGTGTAGTCAGAAGACAACTTGCAGGAGTCAGTTCTCTCCACCAGACCCAAACTTGGGTTCTTAGCCCTTTGCAGCAAGCTCCTTCCTGTAGTGCGCCATCTCATTGGCCCAGTCTTTTGTGTGAGTGTGAGCCTCGGGGTCTCTTGTGTGAGTGTGAGCCTCGGGGTCTTTTGTGTGAGTGTGAGCCTCGGGGTCTCTTGTGTGAGTGTGAGCCTGGGGGTCTCTGAATTCCCTGTCTCTGCCGCCCGCCTCTGTGGTGGGCACCGGGCTGACCGGGCCACAGCCACCCTGCCCAGCTCTTGCTCTGTTCCGACCACCGGTCAGGAACGGCTCCCACCAACATCCAGTGCTGTCGGACTCCTGAACCGTGGACGCACCGGACCACGTGCTGAGCAGTATGTCCGCAGGCAGCATGGTAGGAAAGCTAACAGCTCAGCGGCTAGAGAACCGGCTGCCCCTGCAGAGGACCCGGGTTCTCTTCCCAGCACCCACACAGTGGCCTGGGGAACACAGTGCCCCCTGCTGGCTGCCTCGGGCACTGCATACATGTGGAGCTCAGAAAGACATGCAGCCAAAACACCCACACAAGGAAAATATTTAAAAAGAGAATAAACGAAAAGCCAAATACTGACAGTTGCTGTGTTTTGACCCCTCTAGGCCGTACAAGGTGAGGACCGGGAAGGTGTTCGCTTCCAAGCCGCTACCTGAAGGGGTAAGTGTCCCTCGCACGCCCCTAGTGTTGTCTTTCCCTTCTCTGGATCTCAGTGGCCCAGACTGGGGCCGAGGACCTGAGCTCTGGTCGTCCTGAGGACTGAGGGGCAGGCCCGGGCCTCCTCCTGGCTGACCGGCCTGTGCTGTCCCGCAGGACAGGCTGTTCTACGCCTTCAGCTCCACATACGTGCTCAGGGACATCTGCCACAGCGACACCGTGCTGTACCTGGGGTGAGCCGCTTCCGTCT